CTAAAGGCATGGAGTTTAATAACAATTGTAGGTGATTTAAAGTTCGGCAAGGTAGTCATTGTGGTCATAGACTGAATTTAGATTTCGTTATAATACTAGCTGTCGTCATAGTTGTCATATACTGAATTTAGAATTCTTTATGGTAGTCGTTATAGTCATTAACTGAATTTAGAATTCGTCATGGTAGTCATTGTCTTCATAGACTGAATTTAGAGTCCGTCATGATCATCATTGTCATTATCATCATAGATTGAATTTAGAGTTCATCATGGTAATCATTGTCGTCATAGTTGTCATGACTGAATTTAAAGTTCGTCATGATAATAGTCATTGTTGTCATCGTCATTATAATCATCATAGACCGAATTGTAGAAAATGGTGCGGTGATTCAACATCTCTTGAAGCGTCAAATACCCATCTTTGTTATCACTGGCCTGATTCACTTCAAATCAAGAACCCAGCCACATGCATTACGCCTTTGGAAAAAGTGAAGAAATTGACCTCACGCATCAGATAACGAGCGAAGTAGTTGGCGTAGAACAGCTCGCCAGGGTGCAGATAACAAAGTATGGGCCTCAATTCTTCAATGCTCAGTTTTCTGCACAGATATAGATATAATTAGGGACAGACGCGTGATCTTATGTTAGATGATAAATTTATAAAATTTTAAAGGTCGAAAATAGATTATCACTTGAAAATACCAAGTATTTAAAATATATACTAATTTAAAATTTTTTGGAAGTGACTACCCCATCCACCTTCCTGGTCCATATCTGATTATAATCGATATACAAGTTTATCAAAACAATGGGGTGAATAGGAATTACTTGTCGTTGATATCAAGCTCTGCAAATTTTTGTTCAGCGGTAGGGGTAAGAGCTGCAGAATTTTCATAATCTGCATAGGTTTTGTAAATGCTGTATGTGTGATCTTTAAATTCATTGAGATTGAGTTGTCCATCGTGGTCATCGTCCATACTTCTATTTCATCAGGAGAAAAGGATAAAATAAATCAGTCTTCATCCGACAATCAGCTCAAGCAAATGACATAATAACCTCCTTACTAGATGAAGCAGACAATTTAAAAAATACGAAATGTTAAAAGAAAGTATCTACTGAATAGTCATTTTGATATTTTCTTTTAAAATACTTTAGCTCTTAATTTTTCATTTTTAAGATAAAATATCATCTGGTTGAATGAAAGCCATTAATACCAACGATCAATACATGTTGTTGACGTCGAATCTTGTGTGTCGAAAGTGATGACAAATTTTGTGTCGAAAATAATGACATGACACAAGGTATATATCAAAAGTGATGGCGTGAATCACGCTACATGTTCAAAATGATCAGTTGATTCTGTCACGTATTTGCTTTCGACATATAAGATTTATCACATAAATGACATCATATATGCATTCATTATTAATCAATCATTTCAATCTAACTGAAGATCATTTTACTTCAAAATGGAATACCAAGACAAAAGTACTTGAAAAAAAATAGACTAAAACGATATCGTTTTGTCTGACGTAGGGTGAATTTTGATATTACGCTTTAAAAAAAACCTAAAAAAAAAAAACTAACTTCAACTTTTCCCTTAACAGTCATCTCTGGATTTCTCCATTGTTGCTATCTTCTGGATGTAAAAAACTGAACAAATGAAGAAAAATAAGGAAATTTGGTTAAACTACATTCTTCAAGACTGGAATCTTCATCTGCATTCTTGAATTGCTCCCCCCACCAACCAGCATCACCATGTCCCATTGAATTTTTTTCTATTTCAATCAAATTTACCAAAAAAATTCGTCAAATGCATACAATCATAGACAATATTTCAACCCAAAATAGGAAATGTCAGGGATGAACTCATTTTAGATTGAAGTGAAATTATAAAATTTTAGGATGAAAACAGATTATTAATAGAAAATTCACACAAACAATTTAAACTATAAGAGAATTTAAAAATTTCAGGAGCGAATGGGCACCCGCCGCTCAGTCCATCCATCCTTGAAAAAGGGTTTACCTATATCTTCCGGTGTAAACTGGGGAAGATACTCGCCGAAGCTGATGACCCCATCTCCATTTTTATCATGCCAAGACATCAGTCTGTTGGTTCTATAACTCAAACGATCGATGGCCTGTTGGCTAATCCAAACCCCGAGCTCCTCGAAACTGATTTTACCATCTTTTGGCGAATTATCTAACAATGGGAACAAACTCATCAGCCTTAAGGAGGTGTTTAAAAGCCCATCATCTTGGAAATACTGATCATAAGCAATGTTTTCGCTCAATTCTCCACCGTCTTCCGTCCATCTCTCGTTTCTCGAGACCAAAGGGTCGAATGTAAATCTGTGAGCGAGACGACGATTTAACCCCACTGGACGATGAACGTGCCGTTTGGTTGGGGAGAACAAGATGATAATGAAGGCAATGGCCAAAAAGGTGTACACCATCGCTTTTGCCATGTCGAATGGCCGTCCGGAGAGATCAATGATGACCGGATGGTGGTAGCGTAAAAATAATTGCAGGAAGATGACGAAAGTAGGGCGGGGAAGGACGGTTATTGACAGTTAAATGATACGGGCGTATGTGCATGAAGCATTCAAATTAGGAGTCCCCAACAAGACAAGTTTTTTTCTGTTCTTTTTTGTTTGTAGTTTTCGGGTTTTCATTAATATATTACCTGATTTTGTGTATGAGAGTAGATAAGTAAATAGTAAAATTTATGTTTTCAACCAATTGTCATATCTGGCATCAAACATCTCATTCCCTTAAATTTTCTTTGATGCTGGTTTAATTTAGGCATAATACAAAAAAAAAAATCTTAACATTATGTTAAATAGTCATTTTAGACTTTATTCTTTTTCTTTAACGTTTGGTTAAATAGTCATTTTAGCCCTCTCACTATTTCATTTTAGCTTAATATAAAAATAAATGCCCAAACTATGCCTCAAAAATATTTTAGTGTCTAAAGAAATTTTCACTAAAAATAAGTCTTTGATGTTTCCAACGTTATACTTTTAGGTGTCTGGACGTTAATCACCGTTAAAAATCTTCGTTAAGTAACAGGTGTCACATTATGGTAATTTTGAGAATTTATTTAAAAAATAAAATATTTTTATTAAAAAAACCCCGAACATTAAGAGCATGTGCTTCGCTCCCCCTCTCCCCCTTTCTCCCTTCCCTTTCCATAGCCGCCATCGTCATCAAGACCAATGTCGACCCCCGATCAAACCCGCATTGGTCTTTCATCGTAATCTACCACGATTTGCTGTAGAGTTCAAAGGTTTGTCGGATTTTAAGCCACAGTTGTTGTTCTTCGTCGATTCCGACTAATCCCGACGTCCATAAGCCACATTGCCACCACAATTCGAACCACCGTACAATTTCAATCAAAACTCAAGTGGTTGTGTTCCTCACTGTCACTCTATCGTTGCTCCTCTGTCGTTCCATCGTGGGGATTAGGATTTTAAAAGATTAAGAATTAGGATATTGGTGATTTAGTGATTTAGGGGATTTGGGTGACAATAAGGGCAACGATTGATTAAAGGGCAAGTGACAACGGGTGAAAGACTGTTCGACGATGATAATGATAGCCGGAGATGGCCGACAATGGTTGGTAATTAGAGTTTGAAATGAGAGATTTTAGTTTTTTAGAGTTTTTTTTATAATTTTAGTAAAATTTTGGTTTTTTATAAAAAAATTAAGCTTTTTTTTCTTTCTTTTCTTAAAAAAATAATATTTTGATTATTAAAAAATTAAAAATATAACAATAGACACTTTAAAGTGTAACTAATAAAACGTTAGGCATATATTTTTAACGAAAAATTTTTTAGCATTAAAATGTTTTTCAAGGCATAATTTAGAACTTATTTTTGTATTTTGCTTTTAGGATAAAAGTCTTGTTTGAAAATGAAATTGGAAGGTTCAAAAGTTCAAAATCTCCAAGTTTGTATTAAGCCTTTCAATTTTTTTTTTTTTTTTTTGGAAACTGAGAAGAATCGGTAGAAGGGAAAGGAGAAACAGTAAAAAAGAAAAGAAAATAAATGGAATAGAAAGGAAGGGAAGAGAACAAAGCACAAAGGAACGGGGAAAAAGGAGAGAAAAAACGGAAAGAGGAAACATATGTGTCTGTTTTTTGTGATATTTTTCATGTGATTAAAGCATTATAAACTTACAAGGCATAATGACATAATTACCCCTAATATTTGCATAAATTGTCACTTTGCTTCATTTTTTTGGATTATATTACTTTCTAACGTTTAATTTTTGGTCAAAACAGATCCCTATTGGATAAAAACCGTTAATCGACTAATAGTAAACACATTACTAACATGAAATTTTCACATGTAATCAATTGATGACATAGCATATTGATGACATAGCATGTGTCATGATACCTAAAATGATTACATGACATGTGACATGTCACCCAAAATGATGATTTGGTACGTGCTATGTCACCCAAAATGATAATAGGACACATGCCACATCAATAATTGAACACATGGAAATTCCACGTCAACATGTGTTGAAAGTAGCCAACTAATGGTTTTCATCCAACATAATCTGTTTTGACTAAAAATTGAAATGTTGGGAGGTAAAATGATCTAAAAAAAGAATAGGGGTAAAATGACCATTTGTGCAAACATTGGGGATAATTGTGTGCCAACGAATCCATAAATTATAATTTGATCTTTTTTATGTATTTAGGATGTGCTCTAGTTTTTGTAGATACCAATTTGCTATTATAATTCAAATTAGAAAAAAATTGTAAGAAATATCAAACACCTTTCTTGTAAACTTAAGAGTAACAGAAATTAAAGATACTTCAATCAAATGGGTATTTAGGGCTTACAAAGAGTTCTCCTAGGCGCACCAAGCATTTGATCACACATCCTAAAGAGGGTTGCGTTTGTTGTCTACAGCTAGAGCTAAAATGCCTAGGTGCACAACTCAACAATATTGATCATCCATGTATCAGTTATTAGTAAAACAGAAAAGGCATTGCTACAACTGATCTACCATTAATAGAGGAAATTCACGAACCTTCACAATCCGAAAACTACGGTCCAAAAGCAAATACCACATCTGATCTGAAAACATATTTGATACCCTTGGAGACATTTCGAGCTTCATGCAGCATGCATTTGTCACCATGAATGTGTAGGAGAGCCATTCCTTCAGCAGGAGCAACCTGCAGAGCTAACGTTACGTAAATAAAGGATATCCCACAGCAAGTCATACGGCCAATCCAATAGGAATTCGAAAAAGATAAAAACAAAATGAAAGGGGGAAACAACAAAAGCAAATGATAAAAGTTTCAAAGGCGTTTACCTCTGCTGCAACACCATTCCATGAATCATAGAAGACAGTCTCCCCTCCAACTAGAGGCTCTGATTCAGAATCCTTCGAGTTGTTTGAATCACTTTTACCTTTGGTTTCGGGCCCGCCACTTAAATATATCAATAATGTATAATGGGTGCGCTTTCCCTTTCCAAGATCAACACTTTGGTCAAAATGCCGTCCAAAACGCTGACCAACCTTATACCTGAAGTAGAATATGCATGGAAATTCATAAAAAAAAATAAAAGTTCAGTTTCAATGTACACTTCAAAGTGTATTATTCAGTCAAATGGATGAGATACCTTCAGGCTTTCAGCACACATCATAATCATTTATAGTCCAAGCAAGTTATCACTTCAAGAAGTATTTCAGGCAATTGATTATGCTATTCATTTATTCAAATAAAAGTAAGCATGGATTTAATGTTTTTTTTTGGGGGGGGGGGGGATGAAGTTACCGGTATAATCTAATATTGGGATTCAAGCCAACAGCAACCTTCCCCCTAATTTTAATATCAGAGAATAATTGGCCAAGTCCAGACTGCCATATAGTGTCTGCAAGTTTAGGATCATTAACAGATATTCGGTCATTGTCTCGGTAGGCTTCGCCTTTTGCCGGACCAAGACCTCCTTGGTGCTCAAAACCAATTGACTCTGCAGTTCTAATAAATCCCTTTGATTCAGCAGATGTGAAGAAATTCTGCACCTGCATGTGTCTTAAAATCAGTAAATCATCACCATCCATGAATTTCAACAAGATCATTTCCCATTGGAGAGCAACTTTTTTTTTCTAACTTATACGAGTTTAGATTCAAGACCAAAACCTTTTTTTGATTAATCTGAGATGATTACAAGGTATCATATGCTCAAAAGACTCAACCATTTGACAATAAACACTCAAACACCTCTCCAGACGTCATGTTCAAATCCGGGAACTCAAGGATAACAACTATCTCTTTAACCACTAAATTCACTAGGTTATTGCGCACACCAAAACTTTAATGCTTAATGAAGTTACAAATCATATTGTTAGCATCCCTAATTTCCAAATCATTTTCTACTGACAGGTTCGAGTCTTGAGCCTTGTACATCGAGCATGTCAAAGTAGAATTTCACTGCCTATATGAATCCAAATATAGCTATAAGGCACTACAAAATTTGAACTCTTTCAACACATAATTCGACAATGATTAAGCATATTTTCATATTTCATTTCTTGTCAATAAAAAAGGAACATTTCGTATTTCAGATTGCAATGGAAAAAGTCGAAATCGAAGCTGAAATGGAATTCAAGATAAACGTACGGTGAAAAGATCGTTGTCTTGAAGGCGAGTAACCTGGAGTTCGAGTTTGGGTTTAACGAAAGGCCACTTTGCCGTTGTTCTGGCTTTGGTTCTGTCCCCTAATTTTCTTCTTTGTTCCTGCCTCCGCCATTGACGAAAATACTCTTCTACACTGTAATAAGTAACAACAAATTAATGGTAAACTACAATCATAGCTACTTAGCTATTAGTAATATTACATTTCGTCACCCACTTTAAAAAAAACTACATTTGAGTCACTAGATTGCATTTTTAAAGGAAAACTACCTATTTAGTTACCCATCTATTACTTTGTTTTGTTTTGGACAACTATTATTTTTTGTAAAATCATACCAACATTATGTTTCTATGTGGTCACCCTTCGTTAAAAAATTAATGATGATACAAATTTGACATGATATGATATTTTCTAAATATTTTTAATTCAACATCATCGTATCTTTTATAGTCAACAAACCTCTAATGATATTTTTTAATAATTTTTTCAACCAATAAAGTGGTGACATGAGAATATATATACTAAAGTTAAAAAAATTCCCTACCAAAGATCATATTGCCCCCACAAAAATGATTATCTCTAATTGAACCCAAAGTTCAAACTCAAGACTATAGAGACGATGATATGAAAACTAAAACAAATATTTAAAAATATTATATTAGCATCGTTGTTAATTTTTAATAATAGATGATCAAAATAAAAAAAAATTACATGTAATATTAAGTATGATTTAAAAATAAGACCACCGACTATAGATAATGTACTTTAAGAAAAGGACAAATATAGGCTTGGGTTAGGCAGGATTGGTGGGTTTGGGTGAACTGATTTAGGCCTCGGGTTAATATTTGAACCTTAAATTCAGGCCCAAACGAATTGGATTATGATAATATTTATATAGAGAAAATTAAAATTTGAAATTAAATATAACTACGAAAGGATTTATTTTGAACCCTTAAAAATTAATATTGTCAAGTCTGATAATCTAATTTAATAAGGAATATATAATGTATGGGAGTGAAATCCTAACTTTATAAAGTTCAAATTTGGTGGGCCAAAATGAAAAAAAGTAAAATAAAAGAAGATTCTTGAGATGGATGGATAATTAGATGAAGCCCACATAATTCATGTTGCTTAATTAGTAAAACAAAGTTAAGTTTTAGGGTACGAATCAAGCGATCTCGATGGTAAATAATTTTTATTATTACTTGAGGTCCTGGGTTCAAGCGTCGAGAATGCTAGGGTATAAACGTTAAATGGATAATTAGATGAAGCCCATAATTCATGTTGCTTAATTAGTAAAACCAAGTTAAGTTTTAGGGTACGAATTAAGCGATCAATGGTAAATAATTGTTATAACTTGAGGTCCTGGGTTCGAGCGTCGGGAATGCTAGGGTATAAGCGTTAAATATCAATTGGTTGATAGTTATCTTTGAACAAATATTTTTTTTGTACTTACCTTATTTATAGAAAAATTTAAGTTTTAGGGTAAATTACAAGCTTGGTTTCATTTATTTTAACTTTGTTTAGTTTTGATATAATTTGAAAAAATGTTTTAATCCATTACATAATCGATTTATTATATTTCGATCATTGGCTGTTAATTATCATATCATTACTTGATGATGTGAAATATTAGTAAAACATTATTTTTAATTTAATCACTAAAATTTAAACAAAATATCAATTTAGATCTCAACTTTTTTCTTTGTTAACTACCTAGTATAAAGTGTCTGAAAATTATAGATATAAAAATGATTATGGGCAAAACGAGGCTCAAATATTAAATTGCAGCTGCGGTCACATTTTCGTTGTATTATGTTTATTGCGATTGTAGACATAGTAAGTACTACTGTGATAATTACAAGTATCACGATCATGCAATAACATTATATTATAAACGTCTGCTATTCCAATAACGAACCGTTATTCAGATCCTGATTTGAGCACCTCATTTGCAGCTGTATTCGATATGAATGTAAGCAATGATTTGTCGACAGTCTTTTAATAGCTTAATCCCCTTTTGTGGTTCATTGTCATTGTAATTAGATCTGTTTGTATCTATATTTGTTCGAGTTTTTTTATTAGGTTTTTTAACCTTTCCTTGTATGGTCTTTATGTGATCTTAAGTGACTAGTTTTTGTGTTAATAATTATAAGAAAAATAGTCTAATTATGTGATTAATTCACAATTATGATTGTAAACATTTATTGTAATTCAAGATATTTTTTTAATAAAACTAACTACTTCTATAAAAAAAAATATACTATGCTTGACTTCTACTTCTTTGGCCTTAATTACTCTTTAAGACACTTCAATTAAAATTTTAAAATCAAAACTCCTTCAAATTTTTGATTTATTCAATTTTAAAGACTATTTGTTTCAAAGTTAACTTACACCTCAAAAATTTTGACTGAAATATAAATCGATAACATAATGACTTATATTTTTTCAAACTAAACAAAATTGAAAAGAAGGCGAGCAAACGTACATTCATGATGAATTCTAAATGATTTACTACTTGAAGACAATTATAAGGGTGTGTTTGGTTGGGGGAATGTGAGATTCCCATGGGAATGGAATCCACATTCTCCCGTTTGGTTGGTCGAGAATGTTATTCCCGGTAATCTTACATTATCAATAGTGAATTTTTTTTGGGTATATTACCGGGAATGTCATTACCTCCTTTTCCTTAGGTATTGTTGGATTATTGGCGTTTTGGACTAAAATGTCCTTAAATTTTTTAAATATCCTTATTCTGTCATTGATTAATAAAAATTCTACAAATGTTAAATTACAAATTTATCCTTAAACTATTTTAGATTTACAAAAAAAAATCTATAATTAAAATTTTGTATGAAATTCAGGGGTTAAAATAAAATTTTACCATTACATTAAACCTTTTTATATTTTCAATTTGTAAAAATATATATATATATAAATTGAATTTAATTTTTTAAAGAAAATATATAAATATTTTCAACTTGTTAAAAAAAATATATAATAAGGACAATTTGGTCAAATATACATTCCAATAATCTTTTATTCCTTTAACCAAACACGGTAATCTTAAATTCCTGCTAAACCAACTAAACACAAAATACAACATTCTCAGTAATCCTATTCCTTAATAATCTTTTATTCCCACTGATAATCTTACATTCCGTGAACCGAACGCAACAGGCACTCTCTATTCCGGTATAAGAAGAAAAAGCCAAATGGCATCATTCATATCAACAAGTTATAAGGTTACAGATATGATCAAGAAATAACAGGGGTGAAAGGCTTGTGATGCTTTGTCCTCTTGATCCTTCACCAAAGAATAGAGAAGATCTGAAATATGCTTCTTCTAGGTTCTACCATCCACGTCGGACCCCGATCCTGTCCACCCGGGTGCTGCAGATCCTCTACCCTTGGGCACGGCACCGATCCCTTTACCTCTTCCATGATAACGAGTCTTCTTTCCTTTTACTTCTCCATCGTTCGTGGACAGTTGATTCTTCGCATTAATTGCTGACATTTCCACTATTATCTACATTAGGTGCATTGTCGGAAACAGTACAGCCAAGGGAAATCTTTCAAATATCTTTCTATGACAACAAACATATTAAAGGCAAACAAAAAGGTCCTGGGTGAGTAAACCAGGGAATTGTTGCAGGCATTCTTGAAACCAAATTAGATACTCCAGAGTAACTTTTTATATAAGAACAAACATGATCTCAGAAAGATCGGCAACTTATGACTTCAATCTCACTTCATTTTTCCCATTCATTTATTTTATTGTTACGGATAAGTGGCAACTTGGTCTGATTAGTAGAACAAATGACTAAGGGAACCAAACATTAACAAATAATCACAAGGACTATACTGGTTGGTAAGGAAACTTGAGTTTGTAAATGAGCACACATGGATATCTTTTCCATTTTGATGCGACACCTCCTTATCAATCCAGCTTATAACAGTGAATGCAGAAATGGATCAGCGATAGAAAATCAGAATCAGAACCTACAGTAAACGAAAACCATTTTTCACCAGATGACATGCTTATTTCAATGACTGTTTTAAAGAACCTATCATAGAACACCATATAAGTATTGGATACTTCATGAACAACTTTTCTTATAATAATAAGGAATAAAAGGAAATCTTACATGACAAGACAACCTGGGAGACCTGCTTGGGTTCAGAGATTCCAGCCGCCTTTTCAACTCATCAAGTCGAGCAAACTGAGAGTTACAGCTCTCTTGAACCTATCAAATGAACAGTATCAAATTATTGCACAGGACATTAATGCATGCTTATCCACCTACAGTAAAGAAATATACCAGATTTTTTAAGTCCTCACATAACTTCTGCTTCATTGCTTCCTCATCATTCAACGCCTTCACTGCCGCTTCCCAAGTCTAAAATACAATAAGCCAAGAGGCATATACTTGCTAATAAATATATTGCAAAAGAAACTGAAACATTATTCAGAAACCTTCAGCAGGTCCAATAAAATCAATTTAGGCCTTAATTAATTCAAATACAACCTGTTACAGAGTCAGCAGTATTCTAGACCCAATAAGTCACATTGGGATGAGTCTGAATTCAATTAGGATTCTGATTCTGACTTTTTTTTATCTTTATTTATTATTTTATCTTATTTGCCAAGTTTATCTAGTAGCTATTATGATTTTATCCCTATAATTTTTTTATTTAATTCCTAGTTATCTATTACTTTGAGTTAATCTATTAAGCTTGTTACCTTATTTAAGAGGGAGATTACGAAGGAATAAAAAAGTTGCGTTTCAGTAATTTGTGGTAGGTTACACCCTTAGAATTCCCTTTCATCGTCCAATCATTCGATCCCATACTCGGGTTCATAACACAAACCATTATGTATAAGTAAATCCAAGAATCTACATCAATCTACAATTCCAGGCAGAAACACTAATCAACTTACTACCTCTGCCCTAAGCAGGCAGAACTATGATAATGATTTGACCTTTGCATTGTTATCATCTTAACCTTTGCATGGGAAGGATTTTCATGTAAAAAATTTATGATTTGACCTCTCAAGTCCCAATCAACTGACTACCTCTGTCCTAAGAAGGTAAAACTATAAAAATGACAACTCTACTTCGATCAAGAAAAGACGAGATAGTATAAGGCTGATGCAAGACACTTACACTAGGATGAGTGAGAAAGAGAGAAAATGCAACAAACCTTTCGTGCTTGTTCTTCCTTCTGCTTGGCACTACGTATTCTCTCAGTGACATTTCGATTTTCTTTCTCATATGTTCAAGGGCTGAAGGTATGTACCACACATTATGCAAAGTAAGAATCACTTCTTTATAGAAAAATTCACATAAATAAAGAAATATTTCAGACACGCAACAAAACATCAACCTGCTTTTTTAGGCCCAGCAGTGAGTTTAATCTCCATTGTAAATATTTGCTAGTTCTCTTTCAAAATCACGGATTTTAGAATAATTTTCTTCTATATATCTGAAAGTACGAATCAAAAGAGATTAGATAAAATCCCCAACAAATCAAGTCATGAGAAACAAACGGAAAGAACATTTATAAGAAGAGAAAAGGCAACTTTAGAAGGCATGATCTTCTTTCAGCCTTTCTTTTTACAATCAAACGCTACACACTAGATGATAAAATTCCTAGATACAAACAGAATTATTTACTATAAATTGTTAAATTCTAATAACTGAACCCAAGAAAATAAACAAGCAAAGCTCTCTTAAACCTGGTTAATTGAGTAAAAGAGAATCCTAAATTTAAAGACACAAAAGAAATGGCAGAGTTCATAATCATGTGCAAAATTGAATATTTCAGATCTGAATAATACGACTTAATAAAGCAGTAACATTGAATCAATTAAGATTTAGGTTTTATTTTAAGTAGTATCAAACTCATTTGAAAACTAACTTTATGCAGAAGCACAAACAAGCTCTTATCTCTCTAAATTTAAATTACAGTATGCTTTAAGGTAATTCTTCAAAGGCTAACCATTTATAGAAAACACATATTTGTCTATACATCCTTCCTGCTTTTTTCTCTCTCTACATATTTGAACGTAAAGACGTGCACAGCAGGCTTAGAAGAACACTTTCCTTGGTGTTAATGAACTAAATCCCAGCATTGAACAGAATCGTCCATACTGGCCAGGTTTACAACAATTGAAGCCGTACAAGTGAAAAAATCACCACTCAAAATAATGCGCATATCCAAAAATATAAATTTAAAAGTCAGAACACGAACATACTTCTTGACTTGAACCCGCTTTTCCTCGATTATCTGCCGCCACAGGAATTAAAAAAAATTTGGCCATGAGTTTTTGACCAAAGCAATCACGAAACTCTAAGAGAAGAGAGAAGAAAGAAGAGAGAAGAGAGAAGAGAGAAGAGAGAAGAGAGAGAAGTGACCTTCTCAGTGTAGGTGATAACAGGAGATTCCCTAGGGAATCCATCGGGTCCGATCTCGGCTTCGAAGGAACGATTGGAGGCCATTTTCCCTTGTTTTGGTTTGGAATCGAAATGGAAAACAGTCTTGTGATTTATCTGACATGATTTTACATTAATTAATTGGATTAATTTCATTTTGGAAAGCAATGCATTGTTGCCTCTTCCTTTTTTTTTTTGGGTTTCGTTTTCTTCAATTAACGGAAAAGGGAGTAACAGAAAACACTTCCGATCGTGGCAAAACGTGTTTCTCTTTGGATTTGCCAGCCCTAGTTGTTAAGGTGAGGCAAAGTTCAAGGTAAGTAGTGATCTTAAATGTATTAAAATAACTGTTGTGTTTCTTATTTTAAGGTTAGGAATGTTCTCATAACCATAGGACGTTAGTTTATAGTGTCTCTAATTATTAAAAATTATAAAATAACTTTTTAAATATATGATATTGTTTTCTTTAGCCATTCGACTATTAAAAGTAAAAAATGGTTACTTGACTATTTATATGTTTCAAACGCATATCTTTTCATTAAAAAATTAACAACAATATGAGTTGTATATTAACATATTGATTGAGATATGATAAAATATGATCCTATAATCTCAAATGACCATCATATCTCAGCCATCATGTTAACGTACAACTCATACTACCGTCAAATTTTTAATAGAAAATGACAAGTTTAGAACATATAATAGTCAGATGATCATTTTATAACTTTTAATAGTCGATGGACTCAACAAAACAACTTCCTATAGTTGGATGACCATTTGTTAACTTTTATTAGTAAGAGGAATCAATAAAGCAACACCCTATATTCGGGGATCATTTGTGTACTTTATCCTATTTTTTAAAAGCATAATAAAAAATTCACCAAATTGTACCTCTTTTATCATTTAAGTATTTTTTTTCTAGATCAATATTGGTGTCTAATGTTATCAATGCTATTATTTTAAGTTTTTAAGTCGTAACATATATTAAAAAAATTCTCAACACTCAAACGTGACATGTGACACATTTATAAATTTTTAAAAACTTATTTAAAAAATTCAAATTATTATTATTTTTAAAAAAATATCTCAAAATTTTGCTAAAATCTCAAAAAAAGAAAAAGTCTCAAAATCCTTAATTCCAAAGCATCAATCGTTGCCACTGACATCCTTGTAAAACCCTAAACTCAATTAGGCCTAAAGTATCCATTGGGCTTCCGAGACAACCATTGTTTTTAAATACTATTTATTTTCTTTTTAAAACATATTGAATGGTACCAAATTAGACATACATGACAATTATAAAAATACTTTTATAAATCGGAACTCTGTGACACAGTTTAAAATCAAAATAATACAACTCAAGGTTATAAAATCTGAATAAAGTAATAAGGGTCCTATGAATACACATGCCCACTAAAGCTACAATCAATATTTTAAGGGAGATGCTGGAAGTCATGTTGCGACGATGCTCTATGAACAACTCAAGCTAATAACCTACGATTGGAAAATATCTGAACATTGAGCTTACAAATCCCATCAGTATAATCGCTAATCTAGAACAACATTATGTGTCTCATAAACATAAGCATGCTAAAGATATGATACTAAGCAGTAGGTACATTCATGATCTTAATCAAGTGCTACCTACTTAAGATTTTACTGTTTTATTACTGAAGTTGGAGTCTCATGTTTCCCTTAATCCTCTGCTAAGTCACCATGAGTACACCTCTATTAAGTTTTTAACCATAATGACTGTAACTGGTATGCATTATTTGAATACGA